AATGCATGTTGCACTTGTGGACTCATTCATGTGCCGTCCTATGAAAAACCATGCTATATGAGTCTTTGCACAGTTCTGTAAATGCTGCATAGGGTTTGAAGTGAGACTCTGCAAGCTGATCCCTTATAGTTATGGTTCTCTCTGTTCTTGACTAATAATGGTAAGAATATAATTTTTATAGTGAAGTCCTTACTGCACCATCCACTTTTTAATGCAAATGTTACCTTTGCTGAGAGTTTTTTTTTTTTTTTTCCCAATTTTGGGTTAACTATTGTGAAAAAGGAGACCTATTTGAGTTACATATCACAAGAAAATAGTCTCTAAAAAGTAAAAAAACAACAACAACCAAACAAAAAAAACAAATAGTCCCCCCATAGGGACTGCTATGTATAATAACAGAAAATTTGGCAGTTTTCTGTACAAAAGCTCAAATCCAGCAAATTTACCCCAAAGTCAGACTTTGCGGTGCTCAGATTTTTGCAGAAACCCCAAGAGCTGCTTGTCTGACTCAATTAGTATGTTTAGTGTTAAAGTTTGTGATGTTACAGTTAGAAAAAGAATGGCAAATGGACTGGAACTAGTTTAGTTTTTCTGCTACAACTCTCATTCACCCAATCACCTATACATTGTTACAGTGCCTTTATCTATACCTAATCACTATTGTATCAATTTACACATGTACACTGTGATGAATGGATCAGGGGCAATTTGAGCTTCAATATCTTTCCCAAGGATACTTTGACATATAGACTGTAGGAGCAACTCTACTACCTAAACCACAAGCGCTCTGGAGCAGCGCCCTTTGTACACTGACCAGAAAGATAGGAGAACACTATCTATCAATCAATCAATCAAAGCTTTATTCGTCACATGCAGGTTGCCCTGCAGTGAAATGGGCCCCCCCCCCCCGACCTTACACATATAGCACAAACATTACTAGTATTGTTTAAACATGCATGCATGCATGTATGTATAATCTGTACCAATATCAAATCAAACTTTGATAGAAGCAGGTGTGAATAATTATTTCTGCCATTTAGCATTCATTACATCCTTTCTGTGTATTGCATCTGTTTTCCCCTTAGCCCACCCATCCATTTTCTTCTGCTTATCCAATTCAGGGTGATGGAGGTGGTTGGAGCCTATTATAGCTGCCATATGGTGAGCAGAGAGAGCAGGGTACAGCCTGGACAGGTCACCAGGGCTAACACAGAGACACAGACAGCCACACACACACACCTGTGGGCAATTTAGAATCACCAGTTAACCTAACCCTACTAATTGCATGTCTGTGGACTGTGGGAGGAAGCCAGAGAGAATCCATGCAGACACGGGGAGATGATACAAATAGATGGCAGATTTAAAAACCCGAGTTCTCCCCTGTTCTTTTTCTTTCCCCCCACAAAAGAGATGTCATCAAAGTGTGTTTTTCTTTTTCATGACATGTTCAGTGTCCTGAAGAATTAGAATCACAGCAAAATACCTAGCTTTAACTATCTCGTTTCTTCTAATCAGATGTACCATGTTGTGCTACCAAATCTTTATGTAACAGATGAACACACCATCACACTTGATTACTCCTATAATAGACCTGCATCAAAAGCTTTAATGGATGTACAATTTACATAAGCAATGTTCTGCCTACTTATTACTGATGTACATAACGTTATATGAGATCAGTCTTAAAATAGATATGCATGTAATGCAGACGGAGGCAAGTGTTATATTCCCAACTTACTTTACCAGCTGGGACTATGTTTTCTTTATTTATGATTAAGTAAAAACCAGACATGTTAGAGATGCTGAGGAAATCTGAAGACTAGATGATTGGTTATTAGACTGAGCAGCTCACTTTTTGCTGTGATCAGAGTTGCTATACGAATATTGCTGCTAAGTAGAAAACAGACATATTTAGGAGACTCTCAATATCAAGAGCGTTCTTTAATTATTCATTGTGGGTGTGTAGTTTTCCCTATACTTAAAAAGAATAACTGTACACCCTCCTCTGTGTGTATGTTTATCTATCTGTTATTGGGACAGACATAAACTGTTTTTCAGTTTAAATGTGAAGCAATTTTAAAATATTACCTCCACCTAAATATGCCCCATTAATTTAATTTCATACATATGAAAGAAGAGCGTGACACTCAGCGGCTCACCCAGCCTTTTTATTAACATGTAAAAGCTATGTTTTATTCAGTGATGTTGAATAACAGCCCATCAAAGCACAGGGAACATTTACTCACAAATGGGAAAACCACTCCACTACCCACAAAAAATAAATAAATAAATTTTTAAAAAATCAAGCGCTCAGCCAGACAAGAACTTCAAATTACTTCCATTAGTCTCGTATATCTGACAAGCGCTGCCTGCTTATGGGGTCTGTTTGAAGACGCAAATTCACTTCTATGCTGAGCCAGACATTTTTGTGGGGTGAAAAAAAAAAAAAGGATTTCTAACCAGGCCAGTATTCGTCTGAAAATTAACACTGTTTGAGGCCCCAATTGCACATTAATTGCTGTTTATGTCATCTCAATATAGTGCATGGAGAATAGAAATAATATTTTAAGCCTAGTTTTCATTCTGTGTTAGAAATACAGATTTTTAATTGGCTACTGTGGACGCAGACTTGGCAAAGAAAGTTTTGTTTCTTTCCCATTAAAACAACTGCCCTTATTCAATCACATCATTGTTTTTATTGTCGGATTGTCATCATGTTCTTGCTTTTCTAAAAATGCAAGACAGGTGTTTCCGATTCTTTTGCGAACTGTTAACGCCAAGGTCAGCTGTTTTTTGTTTTGTTTTTGTGTTTGTTTTGTTTTTGGTACTTGGAGTAGAAAAGCAATCCAAATGATTTGCTTATGATATACACTATAGAGCTGTGTTGCTTGATAGCAAATGTTAGTATTGTTCTTCTTTTGATCCACAGCTCTTGTACCCAAATGAGCTTCATTCTCTAATGTCAGTTTTGTCTGAACAAAATGTACTTGTATCCCGAGAGTATCTGCCTTGGGGATCTGAGTCACACTTGCCGTCTTTCCATGTTCACCCTCTATGGAGCAGTTAGGGACTTTACACCCTATTACATCACATGTCGAGGTCGTAGTTGTATCTGAATTTTCATCCTTTTACACATTCATAGATTATAACAAAATGCTAAATTATCGTGCTCCCACGGCGCTGACTTTTTTCTCACAGACGGCTGCTGCAAGATTTCCCAGACGACTCTTACTGTGTAGGATCCACGAAAGGATAAATGGCTCAGACATTATGCAAAACAACAACAAAAAAGCCCCAAAACTTTCATTTGCTTCAATCATCATTAGCAGTATTTTGTATCCTATCTTTTTTTCCCTCCCTAAGCTCTGAAACCTGAGAAATAATCACTGGACATGTAATATGCTTTCACCATTAGTCACATTATTTCTATTTAATGATCTTTTTCAGTGCTGCGCAGCTCATTTAAATTCATTAGAAGCTTTCTTCTTTTCATTTCCTCATTAAATTTCAAGAGATGATGCATTACATAGCTGTGATACCCATCAGCATCCAGCTTGAGTCAAAAAACAGCTTAAGTGTCACTAAGTCTACATCGGGCGGTATTCTTGTTTGTTTATCACTTAGCCATTGCAGTTAGCTCATTTTTTTTGTGCACTGCAGAAAAATCCTTCAATGTCAACTTGAAGCCAGGCGCTTCACTTTCACCTTCACACTTACTTTTTCAAATATTTTGGTGTAATAATGTGTTTTGTGACACTCCGTGGCCTCCAGAGGTTTCAGTGTTTGTAAGAAATGTGCAATATTAAAAAACCTTGCATGAAGAAAAGAAGAGGGGAGTGGAAGGAAGGTGAACTGCTGCTGAATGTATCGGAAGACAGGATGCAGTTGTCAGTGGCGAATCCATTTGCAAACTTTATGTCCATGTGTATTTCACTGAGATGTATATTCTTGCCATTTTAACATGATGGAGGCTCTAGATGGAAGGTGCTAGAGGTTGTCCAGAATGAAATCTATTCATCATCCAGGGACAATTCAGGGAGCTTCTCTTCATTATTTAAATATTTACTGTGTACTGTTGGAAATGGTGTATGTCTCCATTTATATAGTGATATTATCCTGTCTGTGTCTTGTTCACAAGCACACACTGGTGGCAGGAATCTACCAGGCACGGTGCTTTCCTGACCACTGGGACCAATTAGGAGTTTAGCCTCTTGTCCAAGGTCACTTTGACAGGTGGACAGAAGGAGCTTGGGATTGAACCGTTATACCACATCCACCTAAGTGGAAATCTTCAGTTCTGGCAAAAGGGCTCGTATACTGTGGCTACAGCAAATATCCACATCACATTTCATGTAAATTAGGGCAGAGGTCATTTTAGCACCGTGTTGAATATTCATGCCAGATCTTGCTGATGTTAGTGCTGGTGGTGTGACACAGACATATGTGCCTATAATTTGTTCATCTATACAACTAAAGAGGATAATGAAGGCTGTGAATATGACATTGGGATTTCAAAGCTTGTTTTTTTTCCCACAGAATGTTTAGTGCATATCATTGCATGTTCATTTAAGGGCTAATTAACAAAAGTTAAAACGGATGCAATGTCAGCCTTGGGTATTTCACAATGTTTTACTGATATTATGGAGAAACATTTCTTGCATATTAGTATATTCTCATGGAATTCATGAGCAGCTTTTTAAGACTCGGGAGTGGCCTAGAGCTGAAGTCTGGTTGGTTAGAGCTTCGGGAAGATCATTGTACCTCGTTCACTTCCTTTGCCACAATTTCCCTTGCTGATTCAGTCTTGCAGTTCTACAACTTTTAGGTGACAGTCTAACAATTAAGCTACCGCCGCCCAAAATGTCCTTAAGCAGTGTCACTTTGAAAATGCATCTGTCCTACTTTCCAGAAGCTAAAATTAGAGGGAAATGTGCATTTGCTACCCGTTTGAAGTAAAAAAAAAAAAAAAAAAGAAAAACTTATTTCCTTTTTCCTATTAGATCCCTCGTGGAGGACGACGACGCTCACATGAAAGTTGCTCTGGGCTATGGTGATATGGGCATCTCTGCTCACCTTCAGGCATCAAAGACTGGAAACACTCGATTTTTCACAAGCAACACGCACAGCTCAGTGGTTCTTCAGGTGAGAGTGCAGAAACATAGAGAAAACAAAGTGTAGAGTCAAATATCACCTTCGTCTGATAATAACATTAATGTTTGGCCTTACCATTTCTTTGGCAATCTCGTGAGTAGTTTCTATAGCTCTGCTCACAGGTGTTTGCAGATTGCAGGCCAGCAAGATGTTGAATATTTGTTTTAATTGGATTTCTTTGAAGATTAAAAACTGTTAACATTGCGGTATCACACAACATAAGGGAATTGATACCATGGATTCCTGGGCACAGTTTAATATCTCGTCTCGTGTTTCAGTAATAATCCAAAACAGTTGGGATTTGGTGTCTATGTAATTTGATGTAAGGGGTGAGCGCAACCTGATTTACTGTTGATGAAAAATATAACCAAAGCTCACTCATCTTGTACATACACAACCCCCCCCCCCCAAAAAAAAAATAGTCAGGAAGCTGCATAAATGTTACAGTTGGTGGCAGCTTTGGCATGTCACCGCTGATTGGTGCAAAGTGAAGATCACCCTAAAGTTGTGCTAGTGAGTGCTGGCATCATGCTGTTTGCTGCAACAGCAATAACTGTCCTTCGTCATCGGCTCTCACTGAAAATGAATGGCCGTTGGCTGCTTTTGCAGCTCATTAATCTTTTGCTGCCACAGCACAGTAAGGGAATGCTAATGATTTTTCTAGCCTGATGTGATCGTACACCCTGATTATAGAATCTGTTAGTCTCAATTAGGTGGTGCATTTGGAAGCATCCACCAAAAAACCCGCCCACTGATTATTGCAGGGGTTGTGAGTCGGTATGTGTTATACAGGTTTTTTTTTTTTTGGTTTTTTTTTGTTTAATTCAATTTCGTTTTATTAAATAGCGCCAAATCACAGTAACTGTTGCCTCAAGGCGGTTTTTGGCTTGCACATTCTTAGTGCAACCCGCCATAACCATAATCAAAAGTGGTAGTCAGCTGGTAGGTTGTGAAATCAGGCGTTGGGTGAATAAGTGCAATATCCACTTATGAATTAAAGTGTGTTCGCCCATGTTTAGTGTAGGTAGTGCCTTTTAGCTGTAACTTTGCATCAGGTTTCTATGCCAACAAGAGAAAAAAATCCCTGTAATTCTAAACATGTCACTTTGAACCAGTTGTGCGTAAGAAAGCCAAGAAAATATGAAGGCAACAATCAAGTCGGTCAGCTCCAGCTCAAGACTAGAGCGCTGTCACGTATCATTTCAGGTCCATGAGCTCATGTCTGACAGGCCGTTGCTGACGGCATTTTGTTTTTATCCTCACTGAACCACACAAGTTCATTGTGTTGAGCCCTAAAGCAGTGACTGCTTTTTCCTTTTTTGGCAGCAGCCATATTTGAAAGTTTTAGTATTGGTGTTTTTCATCTGGCTTTGTCTAAGCCGAGATCTTCTTCTTGGGAGTAAAATCAGAGCTGTTCAGGTGCTCTAAGCTCAGGGTCAGCAACAAACCTCTCTCTCTTTCATGTTTTTTTTTTTTCCTCTTTAAGGGATTTGACCAGCTGAGGATAGAGGGATTGCTCTGTGATGTCACATTGGTGGCTGGCGACTGTGATGAAGCTTTCCCTGTGCACCGTGCAATGATGGCCTCCTCCTCCGACTATTTCAAAGCCATGTTCACAGGTTGGTCTACATGCCCTTACTCCAGCCAAACCACGATGTAGAATTTTGTGATATTTGTGACAGTGGCACAGGCATTTAAGTACTCTATATCTCTGTATTTTCCACTAAATTGCTTTCTTTTCATGAGGATTTCTGTTTCTACACAGTGGCAGTCATGTTGCTAGAATTTTGCATTGTGAATAAATTACTCAAATTGACCTTGTGCCCTCATCCCTCCAGTACTGAGCATATATTCATATTATAAAACCAGCTTGTTTGAGCCATTGTTATGCATTCATGTTCATGGTCATTTGTGCTGGCAATGAATATAAATGACCTACTTGCCTGTTTCATCTCCTTTGTGCACTGTATGCAGAGGCAGAAGAACCTTGAGCTCTTTTTAAGTACATAGAGAGTGTTTGTGTGGTATTTTCAGGAATAACAGACTGCAAAAAATTTTCTTCGTTCACTTTCGGATAACAAAGATATCTGGGTAATTAAACTGAAAGCTTTTAATCTGACGCAGGGAAAACGAGTAGCACAGATGTTGTCAGAGAACGCAACCTTACTGCACTGAATTTATCTTGTTTTAAACCGTAGGTGTTTACTTTCATGACTCAAGCTTTGATGGGCAACTTGTCATCAAGTAACATTACGTTCTATATGATGAGCAGTGCACATGAATTTCTTTTTCTTTGTTTGGTCCAGATTAGCTTGCGAAATATAACGGAACAGAGGAAAGCTTTTTGTTTTGTCTTATTTCACTAATAAGTTAGCATAGGGCTGTGCGATATGACCAAAATCTCATATCCCGATATAAGAATTCTATCGTCCGATAACGATATAAATCACAAAAATGTAACATTTTCTGTAAATTCTGTGAATCTCGGGCAGCTCAACTTGCGGTAAGTGTTTCCAGCTGCGGGTCATGTAGCTGGAGTCTATACAAACTAGACATTTTTAGACATAAGTTGTAAAGGCTGCCGTTTTCTTTGTGAGTATTTATTACACGGCGTGCTGCGGGGGAAAACCTGTTCTAACGGTTGAGTCCAAGGTTTATTTTTTAGCACCTGACGGCTCTTTTTTTAATTCTCATCCGTAAATAATCTGCTCTTTCACGTGATTCAGTTTATTTTGAAAAGTCTCAACAGGATCTTGAGCTTTATTGTGAAAGATTTATGTGGAACATAAACAAGCGGACACGTGAAGGTGTTACCATCGCTGTTGCTAAAATAAACGCATAAAAACAGGCGCTTGTCCGTCTGTAGTGTCGTTATATAAAATATAAGAGAAAGAGAGAACTTTTAAGAAATTAATATAGCCACTACAGTGACCATCAAAACGATGAAAAAATATTGCCGTAAACAGTTTATTTTGCGACACCACGGAACAAACGATAGCGTAAAATGAAACGATAGACGTTTTTAAATCGTCATCCGATATATATCATTATATCGAACAGCCTTAAGTTAGATTATTAGTGAAAAGGGAATGCTCTGAGTGTAAATGTTGAACAAAAGTGCTCCCTTATGCTTACTATTCTTGGTGACATAAGTCATTTGACTGTAAAAACATTGGTATTGACATTTGCATCTACGTGACGTGTGCATATATTAGCTTTTCTTCTTTTGAATAAAAAAAAAACTATCTGAGTTGAACCATATAAAGATACTATATGTTCAGTTAGTTTCTTCTTTCCCTTACTCTCCTCTGGTGCAGGTGGAATGAAAGAACAGGATTTAATGTGTATCAAGCTGCATGGAGTAAACCGAATAGGCCTCAAGAAGATTATTGACTTTATCTACACGGCAAAGTTGTCACTCAACATGGAGAATCTGCAAGACACACTTGAGGCAGCCAGCTTCTTACAAATCCTTCCAGTGCTGGACTTTTGCAAGGTCTTTCTCATCTCTGGGGTAAGGAAATTCTCACAAAAGTTGTGTTTTTACAGCTATCCTGCAGCTTTTAAGTTAGCTTATTGTCTGAATTAACTGGATATAAAATTTGAAACTTTTTTTCATAAACATTGTGTGATTTTAAACAAATTCCATCTAATCCACAAGTACAAGCTGCAATAGTTGCACACTCTTACTATTTGCACATCCTCTACAGAGAAAATAGCAAAGTACAGTATGACAAGAGGGCCACCTCAATGCCAACCACATATATTCAATTTGTGTAATGTACTTGGAAATTTATGATTTCAAAATATTGTATCTATTAGGGCTGTTTTGTTATATTTTCTAACTTTGTAATTTAATTTAATTTAATATATTTTAGTTTAGTTACTATTCTTGGTGTCTTTGACTGTGACCACATCATTTCATCAGGGATTAAAAAAGTATCTTGATTCTGAATATTTTGGATTTGAACTGGTGGGAAAGTTGTGAGAGCATGCCTGTGAGCCAGGGTAAGAGCAAAAAACCAAAGACTTATTTTAAATGAAGAAAAAGTACGTTTGAAGAACAATTTTGTTTACGGGTTGTGCTTGTTGTACAGAGTCAAGAGAAATCAGCTTTTAATTATAATTTCAACTGTTAATATGTCTGCCTGCTTTCATTAGCTAAAGTTATCATGCAGTGACTATTAATGCTGACAGCAAAGTGTTTAAAAATGTATGTACTTGTTTTTTCTTTAATGCAGTGCAGCAATCTGTTTTTACTGATAAATTTATCAAGGTGTATTAAAGCTGGTTTTCTTGCCAACTGTCTGAAAACCCACGTTTTTTAAATTTAAAGTGATTTAAAATGGACAAAAGCAGCAGAGTCAGTTGACATCTGCTGTGTGTTAAATTGCTAAAGCACTGATTCTTTGTAATGAGACTTCTTTCCCTTGAGCTGAGAATTAGTCAATATCATAGCATATTCTTTCATTTATGTTTCATTCACTGGGACTTGAAACTAGCAAAAGGCCCTTAAATTCACAGAGCAAGGGACTGAGGACATTTTTCCATAGATTTCTATACAACTAAAGGAATGACCAATTGTAGGCCAAGAGTTTGTTTTACTTTCCAAGGGCTGTAAGCTACATCCATCCTTTTCTTTTCACGCTTACTTGCAGCTTTCCAAGATTTTTTACTTGGTTTTTTTTCTGTCAAGGTTTCTCTGGACAACTGTGTAGAAGTGGGACGCATTGCCAACACATACAACCTCACAGAGGTGGATAAATACGTCAACAATTTCATCCTGAAGAACTTTCCCTCATTGCTGGGCACGGGGGAGTTTGTCAAGCTACCATTTGAACGCTTGGCTTTTGTACTGTCCAGTAACAGCTTAAAACACTGCACTGAGTTGGACCTGTTCAAGGCGGCTTGCCGCTGGCTACGCTTTGAAGACAGCCGTATGGACTATGCCCCAAAGCTCATGAAGAACATCCGCTTTCCTCTCATGAACCCGCAGGATCTCATCAATCACGTGCAGACTGTGGACTTTATGCGTACAGACAACACCTGTGTCAACCTTCTCCTGGAAGCTAGCAACTACCAAATGATGCCCTACATGCAGCCAGTTATGCAGTCAGAACGGACAGCCATCCGCTCAGACAGTGCCCACCTGGTCACTCTGGGTGGTGTTCTGCGCCAGCAGCTTGTTGTGAGCAAGGAGCTGCGTCTCTTTGATGAGAGGGCTCACGAATGGAAGGCGCTGGCGCCCATGGACGCACCTCGTTACCAACACGGCATTGCGGTCATCGGCAACTTTCTCTATGTTGTGGGTGGCCAAAGCAACTACGACACCAAAGGCAAAACAGCAGTGGACACGGTGTTCCGATATGACCCTCGCTACAACAAATGGATCCAGGTGGCATGCCTTAATGAGAAACGTACCTTCTTCCACCTCAGTGCACTCAAGGGACACCTCTACGCTGTCGGTGGAAGGAATGCTGCAGGGGAGCTTGGTGAGTTTATTTCCCCCACTTGTTTGCTTTTGTTTCCTTTTAAGCAACAACAGGGGCCTTTAATTAATATTGTATGAGATTTTACACTTTTAATATGAGAGAGCAGTGTGAGAAAGAATGAGCGCTTTAATAAGGCTGCAAGCATACCGACGCCAAGTAATCAAGAGCCGTGCATACACATCATTTGCTGTTTCAACATGTCGCACACATAATGTGTGTGTAATTTAATAAAATTTAGAGGATGGGCACATTATCACAAACACCCTCCCAATCGAATGTAATCCATTACAAAAGCATTTCAGCACATGCAGAATCAATTTCAGTCATCGCAGCCTCAGAGAAGTGTCATGGTTTTTGATGAGGTGTTGTTTAGGGTGTCATAATATATCATGAATAAAATAAGTTTAGATTTTTCTCTCTCTCCGTGTAATAAATTGCAGTGCAATACAACAAAGCCACAGCCTATGCTGATGTAGTCTTAACAAAGTCACAGTGTTTCTATTTGTTCAGAGCTGTGGTAGGTACATAACATTGAACTGTAGGTGATGAGATACAGCTGAAGCTGGCACACAAACTGTGCCTGCAGGGAGGATTAAATAAAGAGGTGGATACATGTTGCCAGTGGCGTTTTCAGTGATTAAAAAGGGAAGAAGAAAAAAAAAGCGGGTCATATCAGATCAACTTGTATCAGTAATCTGATGCTTTTACAAGCTTTTTGGTTCACATTTCATCCCTCTGGTGGAAAGACGAAAGCCAACAGATGTATTTATACATTTATATCTAGTCTTTGTAATTTGGTTGTTGATGCTGAGTAACCAATCTGCAATCTCTGCACCAACTGTAGACCACAGAGAGGTGCCACCCAGTACTTAAATTCAGCTCTGTAGCTGCAGTGGACAGAGAGAGGCTACTGTGGAAGCAGTCTGGGTTATAATTAGACCAAAAAACACAGCACCAGTTCACTGTCAGTCTACACAGCTGCCTCTTCCTTCTTTACGTTTCACTGCCCTTTAACTGCATGCGGTTAGGCCTCCATGTTTTTCTGGATGTGCCCCTTTTATTATATTTGTTTGCTCTGGGTAGATCACGAGGGTGTGGTTTTTCTGTTACGTCAGAGATGCCTAGATTTTTAAAAGAAAAGCTTCACGACATAGAAACGAATATTTAGAATATACTTGCAGACCTGAGTGTTGCATGGATTTTAGTTTTGTGCTGCTTTTATATTTTCAAAAGGATGTAACAAAGATGCACGTACTTACTAATTCTAGTTCACCATGTTGTAAACCCTTTTATAGCTCTTGCACAATAACAGCTCGGTCTTTTAATATAAAAATAAGACTGCTTAAGGCACCTATATATGCTTTAATTGAAAAAGAAGCAAAATGTACAGGTCTCGCTGTATGTCACCACAAGCTGCCAGTTTTTAAAATTATTATTCTATTTTCTATTTTCTATTTCTATTGTTGTGGTGAAGAACTTGTAGAAAGGAAAAAAATCCATGCTAATTACAAATGTGACCTTTCCAGCTTACAGAAGAAAATCATACATTGAATACATTTCAAGGTTTAAATGCAATTTATAATTTCTTTATTGAGAAGTTGCTTGTGATGAATTCCATTTTCAGCAACTTTGCAGTTTAGATACGGTCAGCACAACTGTGCTATTTCCATCAAGTTGGTGTGAGAGTTTGTATACTGCTGAAGGTCACTTTGTTAATAGTCGTTGAGCAAGCAGACCTAGGTATCCACTGATTTCCTTGGTGAGACTTATCCAGCTGGTCCAGAGATGACTCACAATCCTTGTGAGGGAACAAAAAAACCAAAAACAAACTGCCTGTAAATCTGTTAACTATAGAAGATGACCAAAAGTTTGTGAACTACATTGGATTACCAGGATTTCTAAACTTAGTGATGATACATTTAAATTTGTTCTGACTCATTTATGAAGAAACACAATGTGAGTGAACTAATAACACAATGGTTTAATCATTTACAGTGCAGGCTGGAAAAGACCGGCTCCTGAGCTGAGTAACTAACAGGAGCTCCTCTATAACCCCATATACTTCAGTGGCTTATGAGTCTTGTAAAATGAGGAGGAATTTTGAAGGACTGCACTAAACAAAAATCGTTATCTATTTCTATAATGATATGATTGAACAAAACTCACAAGCTTATACTATTCAGACTATAAAAGCTGTTGTGACGCTGATTTTCTTGTGAGCTTGGGTTTATTGTTTTCTCTCATCACCGAGCGTTCTCAAAGCTTCAGGGAATGCACTGCTGCCCTGGAAATTTCTTCATTGAAATTTAGCAGTGCGACAGACTGGCGACCTGTCCAGGGTTTACCCTGCCTCTCGCCCTAAGACAGCTGGGATAGGCTCCAGCCCTCCAGCCCCCACCCTGCCACCCTGAAAAAGGATAAGCAGAAGCGAATGGATGGATGGATGGAAATTTTGAATTCATTCTTCCTTACACTATTGTAAGGCACCCAGGCCTCAGGTAGCAAAGCATCCCTGAATAATGATACCACCTCCACTATGCCTTACAGCTTTGGTGTTTGTTTCAGGAATGAAAAGAGTTTAGGCAGGTTGTAGAGATTCGTTTTGCAGGTAACGTTGGGCTCATTTCCACCGTTTCTATTGGGATGTACTCTGTATTTAAGTCTGTTTGTGCTTAACTGTCTCAGTTGTAATTTTTGCAGGTAGCTGCTTCTGGAAAGTGGAGCAACAGTCCTGATTGTTCAGAATTTGTCCTCACTCATGTCTTTAGAAATACCTGTGTAGCCTTTCCCAGCTCAGTTTACTCCTGTAGCACTCTTCTGAGGTTCTGTGAAAGTTCATTGAAGCATGTTTATGGGGATTGGCTCATCTACAACCTACATTTCCAGACTCCGTAATTGGAGCACCTCACTTCAAATACTTTCTGCAGCAAGTTCAATCCAGAAATGTCGAAAACTGGATCCCAGATATAGTGAACGCAGAAATGATGAAACAGATCAGCCACTGGTGAAACCCATTTTATTTGCCAGGAAGCCTGGAGCAAGTCAACAGGGGAATTATGGGACTGTAACCCATAATAAATGGAGAAATTCTGGTAATTCTTAGTAGTTCACAAATCTTTGTCATAAATGTTAACAAGCTCTAGTGAAATGGAAACGTGTGATTCTGCATTGTTAAACTGTGGTGTTTGATGTGAAGGTAAATCATTACCCTTCTCCATCAATGCAGCGATCATACATGTTGATGGACCCTGGCTGGCTGGCTGGCTGGCTGGCTGGTTTTGGGGTTCCCAGCCAGCAATTATCAGCCTGTGAGCATCTGATATGAACCCTAAGGTCCCCTTTCTGATTTCTCTGATATTTTATAGAACCATCCTCAGACACCTTAAGATGAAAGCTCGAACAATCTCACTATTTCCTGCACAGTCAGTGCATTCAGAGCTGGTGGGGATGTGTACTCTCTATTTAAATCCTTGTTTTAGCTCCCACGCTGAGACCCTCCAAGGCCTCATTTGCTGCTGTTTGTCCTCCTTAGTTGTGTCTTGACCTACTTTCTACTAATACAGTCTTTTTTTTTTCTCTTTTTTTCATCTGTTTCTTCAAGCTACTGTGGAGTGCTACAACCCAAGGACAAATGAATGGACATACGTTGCCAAAATGAATGAGCCACATTATGGCCACGCTGGGACGGTGTACGGTGGTTATATGTATATTTCAGGTAAGTTTTGAGTTTATTATCGGCTTAAATAAATAGAGATGTAATGTTGCATGACTGGGTAAGAGTTGTTTTTTTTAATTGCATGTTTTAAAGTTACAATAGCAATAAATTTTATTCTCTGAATGTGTTATAGAACTGCAAGGTGGGGCCACAATAGTATCTCATTTTAGACAAACTGTACATAGAGTTCTGGAGTTATATGTGAGTCAGGATTTTTCTGACAGCCTGTTAATGCTAGGTATTTTTATCTTTCAAACTTCATATAAAGAAAGTGTCTTTCACACTTCCAGACTTTTGCAAATCTTTCCTCACACTTTATTCATCTATGCTGAGCATGCTTTTGGAGCCTGCGAGGGTTCAACACTTAGGGCAGATGGCGGACACTGAGAATTGGGCCTTCAGCCAGCCAGTACTTTCTCTTTAGGTGACACCTGGGCACTTGTTCACTTAATACGACGGAAAACAAATCCTGCAGTATGGAGATGAGCCCTAGTTTCTTAGTGTGACTAATCCAGAGAGGTGCTACAAAAGATGGGGAACGGTGGTGGTGGTGGAGGGGAATTGGGAAGGATGGAGCAAAGTAGAGGACTAGAGCCTGTGTAGGAGGTGTAACACAGAAGAGACTGTAATAATCCCTCCTGGCCATGGGTACTATGATCCATCTGCAACACATGAGCAAAAAAATTGTTTTATGCAAAAATATTTTAAAAAAATAGATAATGGTTTTCAGCATTGTTTTTTTTTTTTTTAAATATATATATATAGAAGGGGAGATAGAAGTAACAATCAGAATGGAAATGGTGTTGGTATTTTGATCCTTTAATCCTCCTGAATATGAATACATTATGAACACCAACACTTACATAGTTGCATTAAACGCATATTGTACTTACAGTGCCACCTGGGAAACTTTAGCTAATGAAAATAAAATATTGAAATGCTCTCTAGCAGCAATATACTAGCAGCAGTATTAAACCAATTTACAGTCTGAGGTGTTGACCAGCTTGCATGCAGTTTTATTAGATCCAGCAGTGTGATCACTGTGCACACAAGCCGTGAATTCAATCCACAGACCTGCAAACGTTTACCGGTGTTAGATGGTCCTACAGAAGGCACCTCACATTCTCTATCACATTGGTTCCAGTTATCTTTCATGTTTAGCTGGAAAAAATTGCCACATTAAAAGTACATGCAGCCCCTTTGATTTGATTTTTATATCACCGAACTCTGACGTGCTGGAAAGAGGCCAAAAGCTAAGGACTACCTCCACACATGAGTACTATCAGGGTTTATATAAACAATTTTTAATTAGTTAATATTTCACATTATCAGGGAGAAGAACTGGGGCATGTTTGGGATCACACAGATCACAAGATTTGGCAGACCTAATATTAGAGTGGAGCCGAGATGAAAGCCACACATTTTACTTTTTAATATAACTAAAGTGAAATGATGAATAACAAAACGGTCACGGCCTGAGCTAATCTGCTGGTAGCCAGCTGTATGAATCGCTTTGCCCCTGGCAGTACTTTCCACTTCGTAGCGTTTATTTCCACTTTTTGATAGTCTAATGGCTTATCCTTTTGTGTGTGTTGTGGTGTGTGTGTGTGTGTACTGTTGGTTGTGGTGTTGGTGTGGTGTGTTTTGGGTGGTGTTTGTGTAGTTGTGTGTGCTCATGTTTCAGAGATACAATCAATCACAGTTCAGCAGTCTTGTAAATTCTGCTATTGTAACAGCTGGCTGTGCACCTGTGACAGCTGAAAATATGTGTCAGGGAAAATGAACGCTTGCGTTACACGATCAAGCTGGTCAGGCAGTATTCTGAGTACAGCTGTGGGTTATAACACAACAGCGTGTTTTCAAGTGCCTTTAATGCCCACGGCACAGGTAAATGAGCATTACCCATTAGTGCAGTTTTGTTCCGGCGAGTCCCTGCTGTAGCGTCCGCGGTCTCAGAGGTTACAGTCGCGCTGTGCAAGGTGACCCGAGCTGGAGTGCACTTCTGTGTCTAGCTGTCACAGTACATCAGGTCACATTCTCCGGCTGTGCTGCTGCGCTGTCTGAAGGTATTCTGTCAGCTGGATGAGCCTGACGAATGCACTCAGCCCACAGACCATCACGGCTCAAGTGGTGTGACAGAGTTCAGACACAAGCACTGAAAACGGCACAGAGCAACGCTGCTGCTGGTCCACATTCCTATCGAGAGATTAAGACCCTTTGGTTTTACTATTACACTTTCTCCGAGTGTTCTGATGATTTGTGTGTGATTGTTGCTTCACTGACTGGGGATTTTTGAGGTTTTCACAACTCGCTAGTTGTCTGCTAATGGTGTTTTTATGTAAAGAAAAAAATGTTGATGTAAATCTCATGGTTGAGATTTTTTATTTTTATTTTTTTTTCCTCCATTAAAGATGATTATATTTGATCATTTATATTTATCGGGACATTTTATATTTTAAAAATCTAAAGTACTCTCCGCTTTAATTCATCTATGCTGAACATGCATTTAATGTCAGTGAGAGCTGACAGTAATCTCAAATGGATATGGTTCTGTAATGCAAACCTTCTTTCTTCAGGTTACTCTGAAAAGTGAGAAGAGGGTAAAAATTGGAGCTCAAGATTTTTCATTTTCTTTCATCATCCCTTTCTAGCCTCTTTATTTTAATGTCAGTGTTTATTTCTTTTAAACCGTCCCGCAGTAAAACTGATCAATATATGGATGTGCTTCCTTCAGATCAGGATATTTTCTAGTGTAAAAATCTGCTGGGCTGAATGTGCTTTTTGATTCTTAGCTTACATGTGTGTTTATATTTAATTTCTTTGCATTAATAGTGACATTTCTGCACTAAGCTTGTACTGGCCTGCAAAGTTGTTTGGATAAATTGAAATAGTTGAAAGTGGTCATTTGAAAGATGGTTAAGAAAGATTCCTTTTCATATTTTTTCTTATTTCTGACAGTCTGCTAGGTATTTGTATGTTTGAACTCGCTACATCATTTAAAAACACTGTCTTTCACACTTACAGATTTATGCTAATCATTCCTCACACCTTTGATTCATCTGTGCTGAACATGCATTTGAAGTCTGTTTGGGCTCAGTGCAGAGAACTGACGGTGCTCACGAATATTAGGTTTCCAAATGGTGATGTCCTGTGATGGCTCCACATTGAATCATATGAAATGTTGGTCGTATTGACATAGTTGCTGCTCTCGTGATATAATGCAGGTGTTGGTTAAGACGGTTACAGCGTAGCTCCTCTGCCTTTTTTGTGTGGAGTTATGAAGTGAATTTAAAAAATAAGGGGCTTCTGCTTAAAACCTTAAGAGAAAGTGTGTTGAATTTCATTGTATGACTTAAAACCCAGAAGTGATGACCCATAATGGCTTATAACTGTCTGAAATTTCAATTTGCTGCTCACCTCAAGAGTAAATAACTGTCTATTTTATCAGGAATAGTGAATAGAGGGAACAGGGGAGCCATTTAGAGCTCATATTCCTGCAGGGACTAATAGTCAGAGTGAGATGTCATACGGCTGTAAAATGAACTTGACAGTACGACTTCAAGAGGGTGATTATGCTCAATGGAGAAACGCAAGTGACTGAAAGTATTTTGCATGACACAGAGGCCATAAATGCAAACCTCTCCATTCTTCAAGCCACTCTGAAAAGTGAGAAGAAAGTAAAAACTGGTTTCATCAAGCCTGCGCTGCCTTTTGTATGTTAATGTCAGTCTACATATATTTTAAACCACTCTGCAGTAACGCTAATCAATACATGGATACATAGATCGTTACATATGGGCTCTCTAACTCATTATGGGGTATTTTTGGAATCTGCTAAGCCCCCTCCCCACCTCCCCGTCTATTTCACATCATTTCTGTGAGTCCCACATATGTTGGCACTGATTCAACCAGGTCGCTGGTTTTACAAGGAGACTCTGCAGTTGTTTTATATCTGCATGGCTGAGCAGGGAAATGTTTTGGCGTGGTAAAACAAGGGCATATGTAGCAGACATTATGAACAATATCGCAGTCTGCCCTAAGCTGCCTATGGAAGGGCAAAAGCTCCTCGGCAAGTTTGTCAGAGCTGGGATCAATTTGGCAAAATCTTGTCTGCTCTTAGTGTCTCTCTAATGGCGCTGATTAGACAAAGATACTGGAAAACTGATCAGACATTATTGTATTAGGGAAAGGCCAAAGCTATTGAACTGAATCAAAATAGCAGCACACTCCCTTGAGAGGTATTACAAGGAGGCTATTTTGACTCCAGCACTGTTCTCTTGTCAGGGTTTTAATAGCTGATTTGCTCCGTGGACTACTTGGATAAGGAAAACGGATGGTGAGGCCATCTTTGAACCTGATCAGCTAAGGGGTTGCTCCATCAGAGATCTGAGTCATGGCAGCTGAATAGACGGCTTAGGCCTGAACAATAAACCGAGCGCACGATCACTGGGCAGCAAGAAAAGAGGGATACTGCCTGTATTCGGCGTGCTCTGCAAATCTTCACTGCATTTGCTCCTAGTCAATCTGCCTGGGGGGGAGGGGTAGGCTGGCTTCCACCCAAATGCATGCTGGGATTGTGTTCCTCTTTATTTTAAGCCTTCCCTGTAGACATGTCCTGTTTTTTTTTTTTGTTTTTTTTTTTGTTTTTTTTTGGTTGTGTTTTTTTCCCTCCTTCCCCACTTTCCCTCAGCATTGTGTGTTGCGGTGTCTACACACTGTTTGCGTGAATGCGCGTGCATGCGTGGACGCTTTGTAATGGTGTTCCACTTTGTACTGAGCGCTCCTCATCAGCATTATTTCATGTTGTGGAAAAGAGGCTGAAAAGCTATTGATGTCACTTCGGTTTGTGAAATCAGTGTTTAGCCTGCAAATTGGCAGGTGGGTTCGAGTGAAGGTGTGGAAAAAGGGGATCAAAGAGAAGTCAGAGGTCTTTTTTTTTTTGTTTGTTTTTTTTTGTTTGTTTTTTTTAAATGTGCGGCCTTCCAGCGTCAGAGCTGGCTGATGCTCCACATTGCCCAGATGAATAAAAAGGTTGGCTGACTTGAGCGAACGAGTCATTAATCTGTCTGATTGACAGCTTCTCCCAACTAATGAGCCTTGAGCCCTAATTTCCATGCTCTTGTTTCATTTTATATTTTTTTTCTTGCTGCAGGTGGAATCACTCACGACACTTTTCAGAAGGAGCTGATGTGCTTTGACCCGGATGCCGATAAATGGACTCAGAAAGCGCCCATGACGACAGTTCGCGGCCTCCACTGCATGTGCACGGTGGGCGACCGTCTTTACGTGATCGGAGGCAATCATTTCAGGGGCACCAGCGACTACGACGACGTCCTCAGCTGCGAATACTACTCCCCCGCCCTCGACTTGTGGACACCTATCGCCGCCATGTTGCGAGGTCAGAGCGACGTGGGCGTGGCCGTGTTTGAGAATAAGATTTACGTGGTGGGCGGCTACTCGTGGAACAATAGGTGCATGGTGGAAATAGTACAGAAGTACGACCCCGAGAAAGACGAATGGCACAAAGTTTTCGACTTGCCCGAGTCACTGGGGGGGATCCGAGCCTGCACACTCACAGTTTTCCCCCCTGATGATATGTCGGGCTCACCCTCCAGAGAGTCGCCGCTTTCAGCACCTTGATGAGCAAAGGGGGTGAGCCCTACTCCGCTCATACCCCCGTAACCCTTCCCCACCCCCCGACAGCCCCCCTCAACAAACACACCTTATAGACTTTGTTTGCACTTCCTTTATGGACAACATCTGTACTGCATCCCAAATTACCCCCAAAGTCCACATCCCCTAAAGCTGTGCAGAACCCCGCCTCCCACATCTGCGTGATGAAATCTACATACCAACATGGTTTGGCAACCTAATTACATGTTAATTTTGCATACTTGGTATATTTTGGCAGGAAAAAAACAACAACAACAAAAAAAAATAACCTCCACTTGAAAAGTGACTTTGCAAATCAACTTTTCTACCTGATGTCCAGACTTTTCTTATGTCTCGTTTCTTTTGGTGTTCTACCTTGAGATGTTGACTACCACACTGACTCTCTCTTCTAGTCTATGCCAGGTTAGATGCAGGTGACGCCCTCCTCAGACAGCAAACGCATAGGGACCGATGAGCTTTTGAAAGACAAGTGGTTTTTAACTCAGGGGTTGGCCCAGGCCCCATCTTCGTCTCTCTTGCAGTTTCACTTCTTTCCTGCTGTTGGTATGAAACTGTTAACAAAAATGGTGTTTTCTAAATTTAATAAACATGATTTTGAAAGTAATCAAATATTGTCCTCTTCACTGGCTACAGCTTGAAGTTGCACGTATCCAGGTCGTATTTTGATGTCTGAGTGAATCTAAAATCTCTTATACAGGATTCATGATCATTAATCAGCTGAGAGAGAGTTGGCTTCCTTTGTTGCTTTGTAAACGTGTCTGTAATGAATGAGCTGTGAATGACGTGAAGGAAAAGATCAATCAGTCTGTTTGTGGGGAACGATGACTTCGCTTTTATACTGCGGAGCTGGACTGTATGCAGTAAAGGATAACCGCAGACATAGAGTGTGATTTTTCTTTTTAGAGCCACGCTGTTGAAGCACTGTCCACCCAGTGATGCAAACTACACTGCTGACAAGTGTTAACTGGAATTTGGCAATTCCACCGCTGTCACCTCTTCTCCTGCCATCATGACAGACGGTAATGTCGCCCACAATCTGCCCACCTGCTCCCGGATCATTAAAGCCTTAATAGCAGCATATGGTGTCCGAGACGTCGGCTTCAAGCTGTTACTAGGAACAAAAGGTTTGTGTAATCATCAGGTGAGTTGGCTCCAGAGCTTTAAATCCTCATTATAGTCCCATTATGTCCCTTTAATGAGATGCTGCAATGGTGCTTGAGATTTGAGATCTTAATGCCTGTTTCTGTGTTTTCCAGAGCAATAATCTAGTATAGGTCTGTCTTTTAATAGATTGTTTTAACATGTTATGAATTGATATGCGTTTGTGCCTTTTTTTAATGTTTCATTTTGAGGCTCTTATGTGCTAAACGGTCAGTCTTGTTTCATTAGCTACATTTTAGCTTGGTCGTGTTTTTTTTGAGGGTTATGTTAATGTCACACGTCAAAAAGCTTCTTTTTTTTTTTTTTTTTCTAAAGAGTCTTATTATGAAGTCCTTTTTAAATGTAGCAGTCTGCATCATTCATCTAGTTTTAAAAATAGGCACTTTGTAATCATTTTAATGGAAAGCTACTGAATACACAGAGGAGCAAAACATGTGATGCACACAGCTGCTAGATGAGGTTGCAGGAGTAGGACTTCAGTGCCGTTGTTGCCTGGACATTTAACTGAAAATAACCCTTACACTGGTTACCATTTACCCTGTGGATCCACTGAATATGAGAGAAGTAATGAGAGCAAAGAGGATGGAGTGATGCTGCAGGTAGAAAGTAGTAAGATAAGATGATAACCGCTTCAGTTAGCATGCTGGGGAAAAGGGTGATTATTTAGACTGAGAGACTCTTTAAGGCTAATAACCTAATCCACCTCCTATCGTGTAAAGTTTGATTGCTAAGAAACATTTTCTGCTAATTGAATATGTCCCTGATATAACAAGTTTATGTAAGTTTGTCAGCTGAAGAATCTTTCTTTTAGTTGTTATGCTGTGGTACTTTTCTTTTTATTATGTTTGCAGTCTTAGCCAGTCAGAGGTAGGTTTGCAAATAACTGAAAGTATAAAGGCAAAGAATTTTCAAGCCATGCTGGTGCTGGACTTTATTATTTGCACATTCTAGCAACTGGTAATTCACTCGGTGTAAATGGTAAAATAATTTCTTCTGGATCAGAATTATTATAGTTTTTTTTATTTTTTTATTTCTTAATTAGTTTTGGTTTTTAATTGATTGTAGTTTCTTGAGTGGATCTTCCTATTTCAGTTTTGTTTGTATTGTTTGAAATGGTTTAGTTTTAGTTTCTAGTTTTTAAGCACGTTAGCAAGCTAATGTTAGCAAGCTAATGTTAGCAAGCTAATGTTAGCAAGCTAATGTTAGCAAGCTAATGTTAGCAACCTATTTAGCTCATAATCCCTCAGGGCTCAAGAAAACCTCAAAGATTTTTATAGTATATATGTTTAACCTTATTATGATGACCGTTTTATCCCAAAAAAATTCCTTTCACATAGCAGCTACACACTGAAAATATATTACTGCAAAAAAATAAGGCACCACTTAAATTACACATAGGATCTCTATGAACAAAACATTCAAGTTGAAAATCTTTACCGCCTTTAAATTTGTGTAATTTGTTGAGAACAAAATGACTTAATGGTCATAATGGATTGTTATTGTTATTGAAATTGTTATTGAAATCACAGCCTGAACCAATCATAATGCCTGTATGCACTCTGACAATGTCTGGGATGAGGTTATGGATGGCATCCTGGAGGATATCCTGGACAGCTTTTTGGTGCAATTTAGCAGTGTCTCATGTATTACTACATAATGAAGTCTGGAGAACATGAGGACTAGCTGGTGGGCTCCAGGATCTGCCAAACATTCGCCCACCTAAAAGCAGCCAGGATAGTGTTGGCTGGTGTGTGAACCCAGTTAGCCACCAATAATGTTTACATCCTGCTCTCATTGTGGAAAGACGTATGCTTCATTCTGCTATTATGACCAGGTGTAGTTTAGTGAAGGAGAAAGTAGTTCCTTCCTGAAAGTGCTCTTAGTAAGGTTTGTGTTGAAAACCAGGTCCTGATGTATTATTAGCTCTTAGAGCACAACAATGCAAGCACCATTTAGTTCCACTGTATTCAGGAGAAGGCAGGATTTTCTCCAGCCAATATCACCGCTCCATGGCCTGTGCAGTGATGCAATGAGCGATGATCCACATTAAACGTGTAATTCCTCTCGAATGGGTCGTGCTATTGTGTTTTTGCAAGCCGCAGTCAATATTGCATGATGCAGAGCTTTGTGTATTCTGAAGACTGAACATTTAGGTATTATTGGACAATGTGTCCTCGGTGCTAAACCAAAGAGAACTGGAGCAAAAAATTACAAGCGTTCACCCATCCTCCTCCTCCTCCTCCTCCTCCTCCCCTCCGCTTCACTACCTGTGTTTCTCGGTGGATTTCTTCGCCACTGGAGGCATGTTCTCTTGATTCATGAAGCAGATAAAAGAAGAGCGAGTGGATTACGACCTGACTCTTGACACATGAACGCGGCACACATTTGTGGCTCCGTGTGTCTCCAGACGACGACTCCTCCTCCTCATCTCATCCCAGTCAGAAAATGACCTAGATTCTCCAGGCTGCTGGATGTGTTTACATACACTGAGCGCTGATGACATTGTCAGTCAGAAAGCATCGCTCTCAGCTGCGAGGAGTGGGGCTCTTTTTACTGTAACCAAAGCGCCTATCCACCTCCCGTCATGATGAAATAGTGTGCAGAGCCACAGATCCCTGCTGTCCTCTGACTGCATGCATGATGGTGTTAATGGCTATTGATCCTTCTGACTGGCAGACAGCCAAGATATCTGGATGTTACGCCTGCTAGATATATTTATTTTTGCAGTGAACTGCAAGCTGCCTTCTGTTATTAGACTCCACAAAGGTTTTTTCTCTCCAAAAAAAAGAGATTTACATCTCTCTTCTCTCCCTCATCATGAATATTCACAAAAGGTCAAGTCCTTGTGCTCCTCCTGAGCTCTCTATCCCCCCTGACTGTGTCCTGAATAACATGTCCCTGATTCATCTCTTGTTCCAGAGCTTGTTCCTGCCCTGGCTGTATTTTTAATATAGCAGAGATGGGAGGGGTAGGCCTAATTGGGATTTGTTTTGTTCAACATCTGGCCATGTATCGGTCCTAGATTTCGCCTCAGTTGTATCTCACATGTAAAACATTGTATGTAGGGATCTGACTTGCATCTTTAAAAAAGCACATCGTTTCTCCCTCAGTTTGATCTTCTGTCCTTCGTCTAAAGGACAGGGCATGATGTGCCTCTCTGAACCACCTCACTGCATTTGTATTTAAAAGTCATATTTCTGTGCTGACGTTTGTGAAGGTGCACTAGTGCTCGGGTTTCAGACTCGTCTGTGAAGACTGAGCTGTGGGAGAACATGCAAAAAGTCGACTGGAGACTTGATTGACAGGAAGCCTCTCCGAGGTGCCTCCCTGCTTTCAATCCATGCATGCTGGGGATATGCTCCAGTGCCCCCCTGACAACGGGCAGGAGAAAGTAGAGAATATGAAACTGGGAATTTTGTAGAGAACAGTGGAGTTTGCACACTTAGAGCTTTAAAGTGTAAAATTTGGCTACAAAAAAAACTGTAATTAACCCTCTTTGGCATTTATCACACATTTGCCTCAGGTAAACTGCTTTAAAAGTCTCTTCCCTTTGACCAGCTGAAGAGAGCGTGGATCTAGAACAGTTCAACCGCTCTGGGGAAAACTACTTGACCTCGCATGGGTTAAATACAGCTCCCGGTTAGCTTCCCAACAGGTTTTCTGCACCTGAGCTCCAAATGAAGCTTTTTACAAACTCAATTAAAACAAATTACTGGTCAAACATTCAAAGCATACCCGGCAATACAAAGCAATGTATCCTGACTGTAGCCAGAAACTGCGACAAGATAAGATTATTTAGGAAAGCAAGCCTTGGAAAAAAATCAGCTTGACTCATTCTAGTAATTTATTTTGACATTTGTAAAACACATGCTGTGGCATTTTGAAACATAGACACGGCAGATTTGAAGCTTGTAAAATATTTGAATTCTATAATTGTCATTTATCATGTATGCATTGTCATATTGGGGACCTGCAGTTAGGGTTAGGGGTTTTTGCAACATATTTTTCATAATAAAGGTCCAATGCATGAAGATTTTTTTTTTTTTTTAAAACAGGATGAAAGTTCACTAGTGGAGGAAGAAGCACTCAGATCTTAAGAACGCGTAAAGCGAAATGTCGAGTCAAGTCACCTTTTTATAGAGCACATTTAAAAACAAGGGTTGGACAATATGTACTTTGTTGAAGCAGTGCCTGCACAAGAATTCACAGAGTAGAAAGTGCAAATTTGTCTAGAGCAAAGAGGGAAATGCAAAATATAAGCCTGATGAAAAATGAGAAACGCTAGCAAGTATTACAGTCAAAGTGTATTCTGTAGTAAAATGCTTCCACCAGGTGACTGGAGGTATTTGAGTAGAGAGAGCTCGCTGAAATGTTCAAGAAAGCAGTTTGTGGTGCTTTGAGCTTTGTGGCGTGGGGTTTTATCCTGCTGGAAGCAGCCATCAG